CTTGCTCCATTTTTGGGAGGAATGAGGAGAATGAGAGGTTCTTGCTCCATTTTTGAGGCGGAATATGAAGAAGAGGAGGAGTTCCTCCAAGGAAAGCCAGGAGGGAGACTTTGATCAGGGTGGGACCCTCATTTCCCACCGTGGGAGCTGTCATCCCATCTTTTCCTGGGTGGGACTCTCCCTTCCCACCGTGGGAGCTGTGATTCCGTGTTTTCCTGCTGGGAATTCAGATTTTGGGGTGAGCTGCAGCCCCCATTACCAAACCCCATTTCCATCCACGCTCACGGCACCACCTTTGATTGCAGCTGCATCCCAACCTCCCCTCACCTGCACTCTGTGGCAGCAGGAAAATCCCAAATCCCAGCCCTTCCCGTGGCTCCCAGCAGTTCTGGAGCTCTTTTCCAGCTCAGCTTTGCCATTTCTGAGACGTGAGATAAGGAAGCAGCCAGACTGCTGCTGACTCAGTTTGGGGTTTGTCCTTCCTGCCCTCCCACACTGCACCTGCACACCCAGAAACCTTCACCCCACAGCCCCCACCCCGGCTTTTCCGACCCAAAAATTCCCTTTCCTGCTGCTCCAGGAGCTGAGAAAACCCCTGGAGTTTTGTAGGGAGAGCTGAGGAGTGTTTTAGGGGGATGTGGGCAGGACAAAGGGATCCACCGGGGTTTGCTCGGCGCTGCCTTCTCCAGCCTGAGTCATCCGACCTTTCCCTGGGAATGCTGGAGGAATTATCCCAATAAACACCAGGGTTATCCTGAGGAACACCCCCAGAGATCCCATTGCAGCTGCAGGGCTGAGCTTGGCAGGGTTTGCCTCGTCTGCACCCCAACCCCAGGAGCAAATCCTCATAAAATCCACAGGAAACATCCCCATCCATAAAAACCTCCCCACAACACATCCCCATCCATAAAAACCCCAAACCCTCTGGATCTGGGATTGTTCTGGGCATTGTTTCCCAGCAAGGCAGCATCACGTGTTCTCCGAGCTCACGGGTTTGGGTGATTTGTCAGAATTCTGAGAAGTTCAGAGCTGTCAAAGCAGAAAATGCTCATTTTGGGATGGCTCAGCTGAACCTTTTTTGGGGAAATAGGAAACGCTGCCTGGAAGAGCTGCTGAACCCCCAGAAAAGCTGGGAAAAGCTCAGGAAATTGCAGCTCTTGGAAGTGAAATCACTGATGAAGGATTTGGGTGAAAACCCCAAGTTTTCACGGAAAATCCGACAAGCTGAGGAGGGTTTTTGGGCAGTAGCGAAACATCCGTGGTTTGTAAGAAACCTTTTCCTTCCTCCTGAGCTCCTGCACTTCAGCTCACCAGCAGAAAACTGATTTTTAAACTGCTTTCTTCAACTAATGACCAACAATTGATAATTAAAAAAATATTTTTTTTAAGTATAAAATTTTTTTTTTTTTTTTTGAGGGAGGGAAACCCTCAGGCTTTATCCTCAGTCTCCAAGCACACAGAACAAACTGGAATTCCTGCTCCTCTGCTCCTTTCCTCCTGGATGTTGATTTTCCTCCCTCAGAGAGTTGACACCTCTTTGTTTGCCCAGGTTTTGGGGGAATTTGAGCTCAGTTTTCCCACAGAGGGGGAGCCCAGCCCCTGGGAGAAGGGCTTGGAATGTTTTTACCAGGGTGCACATCTGGGAAAGGCATCACAGGCTGGGAACGACTCCGGCCGCAGTTCCCAGCCCAAATTTTGGGATTTTGGAGGTTCCCTGGAAGTGTCCAAGGCCAGCTTGGAGCCACCTGGGATTTGGGAATGTGCAGGAGCAGTTTGGGCTGGAGCTGCTGAAGGAGGTGACAGGGGAGTGACAGATGTGCAGGAATTCCGGCCAGGAGCCTCCTGTCCTGTCCCAGGAGTCAGGAGTGGTGGACAAATTACCAAATATCATCCTTATCCAATAATCCAATATCAATACTATCCACTTATCAAATATCATCCTTATCCAATAATCAAATAGCAATACTATCCACTTATCAAATATCAGCATTATCCAATTACCAAAATTATCCAATATTCAGATTCAGTATTAGTCAATAATCAAATATCAATATTATCCAATTACCAAATATCAGTATTATTCAGTTATCCAACATCAGCATTATCCAATTACCAAATATCAATATTATCCAATTATCAAATATCAGCATTATCCAATAATCAAATATCAATATTATCCAAGTATCAAATATCAGCATTATCCAATTATCATATACCAATATTATCCAATAATCAAACATCAGCACTATCCAGTAATCAAATATAAATCTTACCCAATAATGAAATACCAATATTATCCAATAATAAAATATCAACATTATCCAATTACCAAATATCAATATTGCCCAATTACCAAAACATCAGCATTATCAAATATCTTCCTCCCACCCAGCAGATCTTCCTCCCATCCATCAGAT